TTGCTAGTATCACTCAGCCCTCTGTGAGTAGTAAACAGCCATCAGTGTGCTAATGACCCATTGTTAGGCTGATGGTCCTTCTTGAGCATGTGATCAGCTGGTTTTGGTTGTCAGCAGCAAACTGGTTGATCCACTCTGTGAAGGTGCTATTTAAGAGACTGAGCTGAAAACAGCACCTCAGACTGAGGAAGTCTCTTGGATGAGAGACGAAACGTTTCTAGATTTTTTTTGCTTTGTTTTGTTTTTTGTTTTTTTGAATGTCCAGAGGACCAGATTGAACTTTTTTGGATCATCAACCGTGCATAACATCATCAAAAGATTCAAAGAATCTGGAACAATCGCTGTGCGTAAGTGTCAAGGCCGTAAAACTCTACTGGATGCTCGTGATCTCCGGGCCCTTAAATGTCACTGCACCTCAAACAGGAATGCCACTGTCAAGGAAATAACAGAATGGGCTCAGGAATACTTCCAGAAAGCATTGTCAGTGAACACAATCCCCCGTGCCATCTGCCGTTGCCAGCTGAAACTCTACAGTGCAAAGAGGAAGCCATTTCTAAGCAAGCTCCACAAGCTCAGACGTTTGCACTGGGCCAGGGGTCATTTAAAATGGAGTGTGGCAAAATGGAAGACTGTTCTGTGGTCAAATGAGTCACGATTTGAAGTTCTTTATGGAACACTGGGACGCCATGTCATCCGGACCAGAGAGGACAAGGATAGCCCAAGTTTTTATCAACGCTCTGTTCAGAAGCCTGCATCACTGATGGTATGGGGTTGCATGAGCGCTTGTGGCATGGGCAGCTTGCATGTCTGGAAAGGCACCATTAATGCAGAGAACTATGTTCAGGTTCTAGAACAACATATGCTCCCATCTGGACGTCATCTCTTTCAGGGAAAACCCTGCATTTTTCAACACCATAATGCCAGACCACATTCTGCAGCAATCACAACATCATGGCTACGTAGGAGAAGGATCCAGGTACTGAAATGGCCAACCTGCAGTCCAGATCTTTCAACTATAGAGAACATTTGGATCATAAAGAGGAAGGTGCGACAAAGAAGGCCCAAGATGATTGAACAGTTAGAGGCCTGTATTAGACATGAATGGGAGAGCATTCCTATTTCTAAACTTGAGAAACTGGTCTCCTCTGTCCCCAAATGTCAGTTGAGTGTTGTAAGAAGAAGGGGGGATGCAACACAGTGGTGAAAATGGACTTGTCCCAACTTTTTTGGGATTTGTTGACGCCATGAAATTTGTAAACAACAGATTTTTCCCTTAAAATGATACATTCTCTCTGTTTAAACTTTTGATCTGTGATTTGTGTTCTATTCTGCATAAAATATTAGATGTTGACACCTCCACATCATTGCATTCAGTTTTTATTCACAATTTGTTTAGTGTCCCAACTTTTTTGGAATCCGGTTTGTATGTAATCTGTCTTGAATGAGTCCTTGCAAGTAAAACCGGTTAAAAACTTCTCCTGCCATCAAGTGTGTTTCTTTTATTTAAGTAAGTTAAATAGAGATTTGATAAAAATAGATATTAAATAGAGATCCAAACCCCACATTCTCTGTTCTTTGAATTGAGAAAACTCCTCAGATGAGAAGTGATATGATACAGTTGGTGATACGATTGATACAAGCATTTTTTTTTTTGTCTTGAACTTTTTTGAATTTACCATGTCCTGGATGACTGAGAATCTTCACCAGCATAAGTTAAATAGAGCTTGTTTTTATCCAACAATTATCATTTTCTGTTCTGAATTATGATCAGCCTGATGTTAAAGCCGATCTTGCTAAAAACTTTTTGAAATTATGATGTTTTGTTCTTTCTGCTCTAGCCACTGCTAAGGGGAAAAAAGTCAGCCAATCCATAAATTTTTTTCCCCTATTATTGATTCAAAAATACCATATAAAATCTCTCTGCAGCTGTGGTTTGTCATGTGTCACCAACCAAAGTGATCATAGAATGACCTTCCCCTCTGCTGTAAACAGTGACACTTGATCTACTGCAACAAGGTTGAGTCAGGTCCTCTGGACAGATTCTTCTTTGTTGAAACATGTTGTCTTTTATCCAAAAGACTTCTTCAGTCTGAGGCACTGCAACAAACTCAGTTTTAACAGCATCTTCTCATAGTGTATCAACCAGTCTGCTGGTGACAGACAAAATTAGTTGTTCACATACAAAAGAAGGACTATCAGCCTAACAACCAATTGTTATTGCCCCGATGGCCGCTTGCTATTCGCAGAGAGCTGAGTGATACTTGCAGTAACATCATTGTAAGAGTTCAAGTTCAAGACTCTTTATTATCTCCAAGGGGAAATTTGTTTCACAGTCAGTAGGCATGTGAAACATCCATACTATACAAGACATCAAGACAATAACAGTACAGAAATCATCACTGTTTATTGATAAGCCTGATCGCTACAGGGAGGAATGAGATTTTCAGTCTTTTCATCCTATCTGGACTGCAGACACCTGCGTCCAGATGGAAGAAACCTGAACTCACCATGGAGTGGATGATCAGGATCTGCCAGAATCAGCCTGGCCTTGTTCACTGACCTCACCTTGTCAGTGAAGTTCTATAGGGCTATTCAAGCAGTTTTGCTACACGTTGTGACAATCTGGAACTAACCTGTATAGATAAAAGTTGAATGAATCCCAGAGTGTTTGTTCCTGTTTTTGCATGTAAAAAATCCAAACAGATGAAGGTAAAAGTTAAAAAAGACTAAGAGGGGGACAGCTGAACACGGAGGCATCCACCTCTGTTTAAAGATGGACCAGTTCTCTTCACAAAGATGGCCTCCTTTACTCCTCTCTCAAACTGACGTTCCTCTCTGTGAAGGATGTGAACATCTTCATCCCTGAACGAGTGACCGCTGATGAGTGTAGGCCGCAGAGTCCTGGCCTGATGGTGTTGCTCTTCTGTGTTGGGCCATACTTTTGGCCAGTGGCTGTTTTGTTTCCCCGATGTAAGACTGATCACAGCCCTCCTGACACTGAACAGCATACACAACATTACTCTGTTTGTGCCGAGAAACTGAATCTTTGGGATGAAGCAAATGTTGCCATAATGTATTGAGGTTGGAAAGCTACTAGGATGTTTTCAAAAAGCGTTCAATACAAAAAAATAAATAAAAATAAACGTCACGGTTTCTCTGAAACTCCTGCAACATACAGAAAGACCACTGGTCTGGGTCTGGGTTCCTCCTTTTCACCTGATGGTTGGCTGATCATTTTGGGGTTTCTTCTCTGCTTTCAGGAAGGCACAGTTAATATATCCACATTGCTCCAGGGCTTATCTTTTGTGGGATTTCTCCTCCCCGGCCGGCCCCTGAGTTATCCAAAAGAAGTCTTTTGGATTAAAAAAAAGAACCGTTTCAACGAAAAAGAATCCGTCCAGAAGATCTGAGTCAACCTTGTTAGATTCATCTACCTGGATTAATGAGCATGCATCATTACCTGATCTGATCTCATTTTAACTCTACTCACATTAGAATATTTTGTAACCATTCAATATTTTAAATCTATTTTTGTGTATTTGTGAACACGATCTTCTCTCTTGATAAAGATAATGTACACCCTGCAGTCTTATTTTTTGTAAAGCACATAAATATTGTATTGTTTTGCTGTATCACATGCAGTGTGCACATCTGACATATTCTGTCATATTCTTCACTTTGCCAGCAGAAGCCTTCATACAAAAAACTTTGTTATAAACTTTCAAAGTAACCTTACTTTGTGTTGCATCAGTCAGAAAAATGCATTTCAGCAATTTTAATATTGCTCTTTTTATTCATCCACAAGCAATGTATCAACCTGTCAGCTCAGCTAAATGGTGCTTAATGCACAAACAATAAAAAATGCACATGTACACACACAATGTAAATATACATAGTTGTACAGTATAAAGACTCTACAATAAACTCTTAATTTATTAATTACAGGTTACACAGCAACTGCTAAAACAGCACATCACACAGAACATTTACACACAGTGTATTATTTAAATGAAGTTTCAAAGACAAAACACAAGAATCGATACGTCAGCTGAGGACCCCAAAACAGAAAAATTAATAAAACAGCTAAAACAGTTATGTGGTTTTAATAAGCATTTTAAATAAAGTTTAGAAACATGGCTGCAACAAATGTTAAGGCACTTTAACTTAAAAATGGCTGTCTTGTTGCCTTAAAATTCTAAGTTGTCTAACATTTTAGCTCTAAACCTGAAAATATATGTTTTGTTGAATATTACATAATATTTATTTAAAAACATATATTCCAATCAAAAATATGCACATAATAAGATTGTCAGTTTGCGTTGCTATACCCGGTAATTCATTATGGAGCAAAGATTTAACTCAAATCTGCTCAACATATGTTCTTTTTATATATATACATCCATACATCCATTCATCCATCCATCATCTACAGTATCTGTTCTTCCATCTATCACCATCCATCCTTCCATCCATCCATGCATCCATCCATCCATCTACATCCATCCATGCATCCATCAT